CTACATATCTACTGCTATTGTGTTCATTTTGTTTTATTTTTAGATTCCACAAATAAGTGAAATCATATGGTATTTGTCTTTCTCTGACTGGCTTATTTCACTTAGCCTATACTGTCTAGGTCCATCCATGTTGTGGCAAATGGCAGGATTTCTTTTCTTTTTATGGCTGAATAATATTCCAATGTGTGTAAGTACCACATCTTCTTTATCCATTCATCTATTGATGGGCATTTAGGTTACTTCCATAACTTGGCTTTTGTAAATAATGCAGCAGTAAACATACAGGTGCATACATTTTTTTTTCAATCAGAGATTTTGTTTTCTTTGGGTAAATTCTGAAAAGTGGAATTACTGGTTATTATGATATTTCTATTTTTAGTGTATTAAGAAACCTCTATACTACCTTCCACAGTGGCTGTACCAATTTACATTCCTACCAACTGTGGTTCCCTTTTCTCCACAACCCTACCAACACTTGTTATTTCTTGTCTTTTGCATAATGGCCATTCTAACTTGTGTGAGATGATAACTCACTGTGATTTTGATTTGCTTTTCCCTTTTATTAGCAATATGGAGTGTCTTTTCATGTACCTGTTGGCCATCTGTATTTCTTCTTTGAAGAAATGCCTGTTAAGTCCTCCACCCATTTTTTTTAACTGGGTTATTTGTTTTTGGGGGTTTTGAGGCATATGAGTTCTTTATATATTTTGGGTGTTAACCCGTTATTGGATAAATCATTTGTGAATATATTCTCCCATACTGTAGGTTGCCTTTTGTTCTGCTGATGGTGTTCTTTGCTGTACAGGAGCTTTTTAGTTTGGTGTATTCCCACTTGTTTATTTTTTATTTTGTTTCCCTTGCCTGAGGAGATGTGTCCAGGAAAAAATTGCTCATGCTTATGTTCAAGAGATTTTTGCCTTTGTTTCTTCTAAGAGTTTTATGGTCTTACATCTTACATTCAGGTCTTTGACCATTTCAAGTTTACTTTTGTATATGCAGTTAGATAGTAATCCAGTTTCATTCTCTTGCATGTAGCTGTCTAGTTTTCCCAGCACTATTTGTTGAAGAGGATGTCTTTTCCCCATTGTATATCTCCTTTATCATATATTCATTGACCATATATATGCATGGGTTTCTCTCAGGACTCCCTATTCTATTCCATTAATCTATGGGTCTGTTCTTGTGCCAGTACTGTACTGTTTTGATTACTATAGCTTTGTAGTATAGCTTGAATTCTGGGAGTGTAATACCCCTAGCTTTTTTCTTTCTGGATTGCTTTGTTTGTTTGGGGTCTTTTGTGTTTGCATATGAATTTTACAATTATTTGATTTAGTTCATTGAAAATGCCTCTGATATTTTGATAGACATTGCACTGAATCTGTAAATTGCTTTGGGCAGGATGGCCATTTTGACAATATTAATCTTCCTATCCATGAGCACAGGACAGATTTTCATTTATTAGTGTCTTCTTTAATTTCTCTCATGAGTGTCGTATAGCTTTAAGAGTACACATTCTTTCATCTCTTTGGTTAGGTTTATCCCTAGGTATTTTATTCTTTTTAATGCAATTTTAAATGGAATTGTTTTCCTGATTTTATACTAGTTCACTCTTGGAACATAATAGGTTTCTGTGTATTAATTTTGTATCCTGCAACTTTGCTGAACTATTACTCTAATAGTTTTTTGGTAGAGTCTTTAGGGTTTTCTATGTATAATGAAATGTCATGTCATCTGCAAACAGTGGCAGTTTAATTTCTTCCTTAACAATTTGGATGCCTTTTGTATCTTTATCTTGTCTGATTGTTGTGGCTAGGATCTTCAGTACCATGTTGAATCAAAGTGGGGAGAGTGGGCATCCTTGTCTTGTTCTTGATCTTAGAGGAAAAGCTTTCAGCTTTTTGCCATTAAGTATGATGTTGGCTGTAGGTTTATCATATTTTGCCTTTATTATGTTGTATGCACCCTCTATACCGATTTTATTAAGACTTTTTTACCATGAATGGATGTTGAATTTTGTCAAATGTTTTTAAAGCATCTATTGAGATAATCATGTGGTTTTTATTCTTTTTGTTAATGTGGTATATCACAATGATTTATTTACAAATATTATACTATCCTAGCCTCCCTGGAATGAATCCCACTTGGTCATGATGGATGATCCCTTTGATGAACTGGGTTTGCTAATATTTTGTTGAGAATTTTTGCATCTATGTTTATCAGAGATACTGATCTGGAATTTTCTTTTTTTGTGTGTGGTGTCTTTGGTTTTGATATTAGAGTGATGCTGGCCTCACAGAATGAGTTTGGAAGTATTCCCTCCTCTTCTACTTTTTCAAATACTTTTAAAAAGATGGGTATTAGCTCTTCTTTAAGTGTTTGGTAGAATTCAGCTGTGAAGCCATCTGGTTTTGGTCTTTTGTTTCTTGGGAGTTTTTTGATTATCAGTTCAATTTCATTGCTGGTAATTGGTCTGTTCAGATTTTCTGTTTCTTCCTTGGCCAGTCTTGGAAGGTTGTATTTTTCTAGGAATTTGTCCATTTCTTCCAGGTTTTCCAGTTTATTGGCATATAATTTTTCATAGTACTCTCTAATAATTCTTTGTAGTTCTGTGGTTTCTGCTGTGACTATTCCTTTTTCATTTCTGGTTTTGTTTATTTGTGCAATCTTTCTCTTTTTCTTGATATGTCTGGCTCAGAGTTCATCTATTTTGTTTATTTTCTCAAATAACCAGCTTTTGGTTTCATTGATTTTTTTTCTATTGTTTTATTCTTCTCTATTTTATCTCTGCTCTGATCATTATTATATCCCTCCTTACAAACTTTGAGTTTCATTTGCTCTTTTCTAGTTTCTTTAATTGGGAGCTTGAACTGTTTATTTGGGATTGTTCTTGTTTCTTGAGGTAGGCCTGTATTACTATGTGCTTCCCTCTTAGACCCCCTTTTGCAGCATCCCACAAATTTTGGACTGTTGAATTTATGTTTTCATTTGTCTCCATGTATTGCTTTATTTCTGTTTCAATTTGTTCATTGATCCATTGATTATTTAGAAGCATGTTGTTTATCATCTATGTGTTTGTAGGCTTTTTTGTTTAATTTATTTCTAGTTTAATACCACTGTGGTCTGAGAGTTGCTTGATACAGTTTCAATCTTTTAAAATTTATTGAGGCTCTTTTTGTGACCTAGTATATAATTGATTTTGGAGAACATTCCACGTACACTTGAAAAAAATGTGTATCCTACTACTTTTGCTTGGAATGTACTTTAGATATCTGTTAAGCCCATCTGATGTAATGTGTTGTTCAATGCCTCTGTTTTCTTATATATTTTCTGTCTGGTTGATTTATTGATGTGAGTGGTGTGTTAAAGTTGCCTAAAATGAATGAGTTGCAGTTTATTTCCCCCTTTAGTTCTTTTAGTATTTGTTTTACACATTTAGGTTCTCCTATGTTGGGTGCATATATATTTATAATGGTTATATCCTCTTGTTGGATTGATCCCTTTATTATTATATAATGTCTTTCTTTGTCTCTCGTTACTTTCTTTGCTTTTATGTCTATTTTGTCTGATATAAGTACTGCTACTCCTGCCTTTTCTCCCTATTATTTGCATGAATTATCTTTATCCACCCCTTCTCTTTCAGTCTGTGTATATCATTTGGTCTAGAATGAGTCTTGTAGATGGCATACAGATGGGTCTTGCTTTTTTATCCATTCAGCCACTCTGTGTCTTTTGATTGGTGTATTCAATCCATTTACATTTAAGGTAATTATTGATAGGTATGTACTTATTGTGATTTTGGTTTCCAGTTGTTTTTATAGTTCCTCTCTGTTCCTTTCTTCCTCTCTTACTCTTTTCTCATTATTTAATGGTTTTCTTTAATGCTGTGATTGGATTTCTCTTTTTTACCTATTGTAGGCTTTAGGTTTGTGGTTACTGTAGGTTCAAGGATAATTTTCTAACTATATAACAGTCTATATTAAGTTGATTGGTCTATTTCAATCAAGCATACTCTAAAAATACTTTTTTCTTATTCCTTCTCCACAGTTTGTGTATTAGATATCATAATCTGCATTTTTGTGTGTGTGTTTGTAGCCCTTGACTGATTTTGTTTATAGTTGGTTTTACTACTTTTGTTTTATTTTAATTTCATACTTGCCTGGTAAGTAGTCTACTTACTGTGGGTTTATTTTCACTGGTGAAAACTATTTAGGATGAGGAACTTTTCCATCTACAGAAGTCCCTTTAACATATCCTGTTGTGATTGTTTAGTGGTTATAAATTCCTCAACCTTCATTTATCTGGGAAATATTTAATCTCCCCTTCAAATTTGAATGATAATCTTGCTGTGTGGAGGATTCTTGGTTGAAGGTCCTTCTGTTTCAATACATTAAATAAGAAAAAATTCTTACAATGAGATTTTTATAATCAAATGAGAAAATCAGTATTAGATAATTGCTAAGTGAAAAATGCTGGGTAAAATGATATCATAATATTTTTAGTATGAAAGTGCATGGAACAAAAGGTGGAAACAAATATGCCAAATGTGAATAGTAAAGTTGCCCAAGGGCAGTAGACTGAGTAATTTTTTGTTCTGATTCATAGTTTTGGTACTTTCCAGATATTTTTATGGGAAGCATCTAGAACCGTAAGAAAGTGTGTTTTGGTTTTTATTTTTTTTTTAAGAGACTCTGTAGAAAGAAACTTAACACACATGCTAGGAGCTTGGACTTCCATAGTATCTTTCTTAGAGCATGTGAAGTAATCTATTCTACCAAAATGATTTAGAAATAAAGATTTAAAGATTTCTTTTGGGAAGATTGGGGAACTCAGGGTTTTCTTTTTAGTATTCTGAGAAATCTCTTCCTATCTTGCAGACAATAGTGATAACAACAAAAATACAACAAAACTGATCCTCTACTTAAAAATATTATTAGCATTTTTGTTTTACAAATTTAGGTGCTTAGAATTGTCAATTCAAATAGGTACTTTTTCTCATGTAGATGTCGTCTGCTGCTGAAAATGGAGATGCAGCACCTGGAAAACAAAATGAAGAGAAAACCTATAAAAAAGTGAGTATTTTATTTTTCTTTTCTTCAACTCAGAAAGGGAGCAATTCTATTGTTTGGAAGGTTAATATTGCCATTGGCCTTTTATTCTTCCAAAGCAATTATCTGTAAATTGCTGCCTTAGTTTTCTAGTGCAGAAATAAATTACCACAAGTGTGGTGACTTTTACTCTTTCAAGGATAGCCAGCAAAAAGTTTTGTTATAAAGTACACGAGCCATGTGATCTGACCACATATTTAGGTCATGTAACTAACATGATACATATTTCTTGGTCCATTTTCATGTGGGAGAATGTCCCCTTTTCCCTTGTATATCTTTTCTTCTGACTTTTCTACTCAGCCAGACCTAGAAATATAAACAGGGAAGTTGCAATTCCAGAGTGATAATGTGGTTGGGGAAGAGTTGGGTGAGATTCAAGAGCTCACAAATGTCACGTTATACCTTAGAAAATTTGTAAATTTGGCCAAAGGCAACAATACACTTATTTATGGTTAGACATAGGTGGAAACCAAATCCTGTCTTATTTACCCAAGACTCCTTGTGAATATAGCTGAGCAAGAGACCAACACAGAGATGGTCAAAGTGTAACCAGTCACTACTTCAGATCAGTTGCAGGCAGTTTTCTCATTCATCATTAAGATGCACTGTAATTCTTGACTGAATTCTGATCTACAGGAATTTCTTATTGGTGCAAAAGTAATAGAATGTGACCATGAGATCTTGGAGCTTGCTAAGTGTCTTGCTCAAGAATTAGAAAAGTAGGTGTTCTATTATTAGAGGTATGATTCTATGATTAATGTTACTAATAAGATATTTGACTCAGCAATGTTGGGAAGGTTAGTAAAAATCAAATTCTAAGATAGCAAATAATTCTAATAAATTCTAATAAATAAGAGATGCAGGAAACTTGAGAGGACAAAAAAAGCACCAAGGTTTTTTTTTTTGTTTTTTTTTTTAATGTGTGATGACATAGGGACTTTTTGATGATCTTTGATTTTAAAAGAAAGATAAACAGTAACCAGTGCAGGGAGATGTATACAACCTCTGTAGAAGAAAAGCACCAAAAAGGTAGAGCATGCCTGGGACTTTAGCCCTCAGTAATTGTGATATCAATGGGCAAAGCAGGAAGGGGGGATCACTTACAGAAATTGTTGCTTTACTAATGGATAGCTATTCTGCTTAACTATTGGATTTAATTTTTCCCCTTAAGCCAAAAGGTCTTCAAAGTGGAGGCGTTATTGGCAGGTAGGAGAAGTGATGAGAGTCATATTAGCAATTGCAAATGTGTTGGTCTCTAGGCCTATATGAACCATTTCCCAGATGAACGAATTTGCAACTAGAGCAGGGGAACCACTCACTAAGTGTGAGCATTGAAAAATTGGGAGAATGGAATAGTTATCAAAAGGCAGGAAATAAACAAATATCATCCCTAATTTCAAAAATGAGGAAGAGGTACATTCTGGAAACCAGACAGAATCAGACTGTGCCTTGGCATAATTTGAGCATGGGTTAGTGAACATACAGTTTAGGTACATTCTGAGAAGAAGCATGTCTTACACACCTGCAGAGGTTTAAAAAGATACAGTTTATGTCATAGTAACTACATTTCCTATTATGAAAGTCATTAAATTCATTGCAGATAAGAAGACTTCTCAAGTTTAATGAGTTTTGACTTAAAGGCACCTGGAACATTCTTGTGGCATCCTTTCAGGCAATTTTCAGGTGAAAAATTCGGATTAAATATTATGAATAGTGTGTTTGTATGGCTGGACTCATGGTCCCAAAGAATGGCAGTTTACCCCCTATTCACTTAGTCTCTCTATCAGCATGATGACACTTTGTAGCTTAATACTTTTTCCTACAACCTTAATAAAGACATATAAGTTGTGCTTTGCTAATGTGCAAATAACAAAACGTGGGAATGATAACAGACTAGATGAGGGTCATCAAAGCTTGTATGCATTTCATGAACTATTCTCTTTTACGAATATCTTAAATATCTTTCCCAGTCCTAAAGCCCTAAACCATGTTTTAGGTTTTAGGACTTTCACAGTCCTAAAACCATGGGGCTTTTTAATAAGGAGCTTTGATGACCCATTGGGTTTTTTTTGCCTGTGACTGAAGTCAATCTGGGTTAAGAACCCCCAATCCACTACGCTAGGCATAAGAAAGATATCAAAGGACTTTATAAAGAATCTACGGTTGAGTAGGAGAGGAAAGACATGAAAACAGTTTTAGAACACAGTTGCTTATAATAAAGTGTTCAAAAGAGGAGAATCAATACAGGTTCGAGTTAAGGAGCAGGCTTAGGCTTTATCAAGCCCCAGATTTATTGGGCAGCTGCCAGCAACACTCAGCATCTTGAGTGCTATGAGTTCCATGTGTTTTTAGGAAACACTCAGTGTTCAGGGAACAATGTTATACTCTCAGAGTCTTGATTATTTGCAAGTGATTACTTGGGCTAGCTGCTTTTTGTTCTCCCACTTAACTATTTCCCTAATCTGTTATCAGTTCTTGACAAGCCCAGGAAGAATGGCTAAAATCAATTGGTGAGGTAAATGTTTTCAGCTAATGGCTACAATAAGAATTTTTAATTTAGCTGCTTAAAAGCAAACACATTGCCCATTAAGGCCTGCCTAGCTGTGTTTACAGAGGGTACTATTTCCATTCTCAGTTCATTTATTGAGTGTCTTCAGCAAGATTTATAAGCTCAAAAGCTCCCAGGGCCCAGGCTGGTAACAAGGGAGTGAACTAACCAGGGGGAGAGTGGTAAACAGGAGCATGCATGCCTTCTTTAAAAGGGCAGGTGGCACTCAGCTCTAGCTGCCAGAGCTGTGCAGGGATGCTCGCCCAGGGGTACCACATATACTGATGCTTCAAAAAACCAAAGATGTGGATTCTGATACGAAACCTCCCAATTTGTAAAGGTTGGCAACTGATTCAAAATTTTTCAAAAGCATACTCTGGGCAGAATAACACATTTTCAAACATCTCTGGCCCTCACACAGTGGCCAGTTTGTAACCTCAGTACTATTTGGGTAGAAATCTGAGATAGAAGATGAAGATGCAGAAAAAATGCACATAAGACCTGGTGCCTGCTTCCTATGACCATACAATTTATTAAGAGAAAAAAATAGAGACCCATGTGAAAAAATTAAATAATGACTCAAATTGATGTTAAGTGCCAAGACAAGTGGCATTTCACTTAATCCTCTGGCAAGTCCTGACGAGCCCAAAGCACATCCCAGGCTTCTGGGGGATATGTCCTTTCCTTAGACTTTTTCATCAGCAGAGCATTTTGTTGGGATAAAATTTTTCTAGTTGCCTCATTGCTTTTTGTCATGACAGAAAATCCCACTCATTAGTGGATGGGGAATTGTTTTACTTACCCATTTGTCTCAATGGGGAATCGCACAGGTACAATCAGGATGACAATTATTTTGTCTGAGGGACAAGAAAGCCAATGTCAGTGTTTAGGTAAAATAGCAAGGAATTTTGGAGGTGTGGGCTGGCTCTGAAGGACAGCTAGCCTTGAGTGCTGGTTGAAAAGTCTGCCCATTAGGACTTTCTGCAGTGATGGTAATGATGTATAATCTGCACTATTATAGTAGCTACACACTGTGTGTGGCTATTGAGCATCAAAATGTGTCCAGTTTGTTTGAGGAATGAGTTTTTATTTTAATTGTAGTTAAATTTAAATAAGCACATGTGGCTGATGGCTACCTTGTTGGACAGCACGATTATAGCCATGAGATACCGTACCATTGGTTCGGAGATGAGTGACATGATGACATGACAGTAATAATTGCAAGGAAGGTTGACTGAAAGTTTCTAATCAGAGTAACTACTAGAAATTTTCTACCACTGATGGAACTAGAGAAGTTTGAGGAAGACACTTTTTTTTTTTTTAATAAGGTGAGAGACTTAGAAGGAAGGCAGAAGGCAGATGTCAGTTCACTTCAAGAGTGGCTGAACTTCAGGTATACTGATACTGAGATCTGAGTTTTCTCTCTTTTATATGTGAAGATATTGCCTACCCGACCCACCCTTCAGAACGAACAGATGTCAGTATGGTTTGGTGACCTGTCAAAGTCACATAGTAGTTCTTTGCCAGGGGGATTTTTAAATCTCTGGCCACATGAGGCGTTAATTTTGTGACTTGTCCATTGGAATTGATTGGTGTTTCCCAACCACCTGGACTGACATGGGAGCTTGTTGCCACCGTGTGCATTGCTTCCTCTCATCTCTCCACCCAAAGGTTGTCTTTCCAGGCCTCTCACCCCTCCCTCTTCAATGTCTCCCTCCACGCTGGGCCAGCCCGCAGTAGGGCCCCCTGGAGAGTCTGTGGTTGGGGACTCCGCAGGCTGCTGTGGCGCGGGTGGAGGGGGCCTGCCTTCAGCACCCACACGCCAGCTGCTGCTGTGCTGTGCATCTCTCTAACTGGTCTCCACCATGAAGAGTGCCCCTCGACAGCACTCAGAATGCTCTAGGGGATAAACTGGCCAGACTAGGACTTGACCCAAGTTCCCATTTTTCCATTCTGTCTGCTTTTGGTTTTTAAGACCTTGGTTGTCATTTAATTCCAGGGTCTTGGCCTATCAGTGGAGGCAAACACTGATGAGGCAGGAGGGATTCATGCCTGCCCCTTACTACATTACAAGGAAAGATGTCTTTTTATGACTTCTTAGACATAAGTGAAGTAGGTAATGACTCAGAGATACTTTGATCTACGAGGAAGTATTTGTTTAAATACAAGTTCTTGTATAAAATCTCTGGGAAGATATCTAGACACTGGTCACACTGGCTGCCTCTGGGGAGAATGGGCTGGTGGAAATCAAATTCGAAGAAACTTTTCTGTGCTTGCCTTGATATGTATATTTCAAACCATGTGACTGTTTTACCTATTCAAAAGTTAAATAAATAACACTTTAACAGGGAGCTTAGGGAGACTGGCATGTGTCCTGTGTCCTGACCGCTATTCCTTTCCTTCAGACTCTAGAAAG